TGTAGGAAAAGTCAACTCAACTTTGACCAAGCATAACTTTATCATACTTTATGAGAAATGACCCATCCAAATCTAATTTTTAATAGGATACAATTCTATACAATCCATCTTCAGCTCCCAAGTTCAAAATATGCACCCACAAGAAGTTATGAATTTGGACATTATAGGTCATTTTGAAAAGTCAACAAAAACACTTTTTTTGTCAAAGTTTCATACATGAGCATGGAATATAAATTTGAGATGAGACCAAAAGGGTTGATTAGAGGAGATCTCAATATTTCTAAAAAGTCCAAGAACACCTCCAAAGAGTTAAAATTGAGTAAGTTATGCATTGGTGAAGTTGACCTTTTTTGCAAAATTGCCAAAAGTCAACTATGCCCAAAACTTCAAATTTTGCCAAATGGGCCCAATCTTTTTCACTTGTTTTGAGTTGGCAACATAGTACAAGAGCTCTAGCCCTGGCCACTTATCCTTATCATGTTTTTATTATTTATTTTGATTTTTATTTGATTTAAATCAATTTTAATCAAAACAAATCATATAAAATCCAAAACATTAAAAACACAAGATTTTGTGCTTGTTTCAGGTTTCAATTACAGCTAGCAAGTATTCAAATTCGTATCAAGGCATGGTGTGTACAAAAAGATTGAAATAGGCCAATTTTGGAAAGTTTTCAAAGGGAATCAAGTCAAGAATCCAATTCATTGATGGAGGAAGATTGATATCAGTTATCAACCCTAATCCCTTCCTTGATACATATAGAGGGCAAGCAGACCAAAAAGAAAGGTTAGAAACAGGCGTAACAAGGAGAACAAAAACTCAAAAAATCAAGAAAAAGTGGTGGATCGAATTTGTACTTAGAGGCCAATACAAGACCTTTTCCCTATCCCAATCGATTCCTGGGAGTCTCAGCAAGCTAAAGCAATTGAAACCAAGCGTTTCCAGGCCTTAAATCGCACTGTAAGTCAGTCACGATACCTCTATTTTCTTGAAATCAAATCCCATGATTTAGGCATTGTTAGGTTGAATTAATCACATATTCTTGATCTATGAGACATATGCAAGCTTGCTGTATGGTTTAATTGCATTTATATGGCCTATACAAGATTTCACCATTGCTAGGGTTGCTTGCTTCGATTTGGGATTTTCATGTACGGGAAAAATTGGGCCATGAAAGGGCCACCAATGAAACCAGCAGGACCAGACGAATTCAACCATGACCTTGGTTTTTATTTATCATGTTTGTGCTTGATTTTAAGAATGGCAGGGGCTATAGCTATGAACAAACGTCCGTAGGTAAAAGTACTTCACTTTTACCCACGGAGAGAGGAAGGAGACGACTGCATGTAACTTCCCTATTGGAACATTCAAACCTAGCGTGCGTTTTCTTATTGTTTTCCACTAATTCTTGTTTTTTTATATATTATTATTATTATTATTATTATTCATTACATGTACAAACAAAAGCAATTGGCCCAATGGTAGCCAGGTTGGTGTTAAGGCGTGGGAGTGCTTGAGGTCAGGGGTTCGATCCCTGCCTCCAATAATTGTGGTTTTTCTTAATTTATTTCAGGCAATCACATGTGCACATAAACCCAAGGCCTATCATACTCCCTCAAGATCCAACCATTCAGGAATCCAAGTAGCCAGATCTGATGGCTATGACATGATGACCATGGCGGACCTCAGTCAAGGCAATGTGCTGGATCTCAGAAGTCAATGTGGACTTCCAATCATTGGGCCCAGATTGATATTCACCCCCCCCCCCATTTTTCAGGCCCATTTCTTATTCTTTTTTCTCTTTTTATATTTCATTTTAACTAATTAATTAATTTATTATACTAACAAAAATTATTTTCTTTTTCATCAAAAAAATCACAAAAAAATATACTTTTCATAAATTAGGTCTAGATTTTATTTTTATTAAAAAATTAATTAATTAAATTAGGTTTGTTAAATTTAGATAATTTTAATTCTTTTGTACATAATTAAAAATAACTAGAATAATTAGGTTTTTTATTCCAAATTTAATTTTTCTTTTTTTTCTTAAAAATAATCAAAACATAAAAAACATGTCTTGTAATTTAATCACTAATTAATTTTGTATTTAATTTAGAAAGCCTAAATTCTTTTTAAAAAAAAAACAAAAAAACAATTTTTCTTTTAATTAGGTTAGAGGGGTCAAAACCCTAATTTTTCGTCGATCTAATTTTCCTCGCACACTTTATTATTATTTTTTATCATATTGATGTAACTGCCTACAGTTTGTAGTAGTTAATTAGGACGTTTACTTTTCATTTATCGCTTTATTTTCAAAGGGTTTGTTTTTGGCTATGTAAATACCCGAAGCCTTGTAATAGCGTAGTTTAATTTCCGCATTTTAAATTTCGCAAATTATTAACTGTTAGATGTATGATATTAGGATGCATGACAAGAATGTATGATTAATTTTAAAACAGTTAGACAACCCTAAATGTGCAAAGATAATAAACTGAAATTGAATCACTCGCACATGCGCACTCCTAGGGTACACTCCCACTTGGTTGCCTTCGGTAAACGGTCATTGAGTATAGGATGTTTTAGTGGTTGTCCTTTTGTCCAAAGATCAAAGTTGCCTCGGAAAGGTTGCCTCAGACATTGTTGCCTCAGATAAATAATCTAAGACATTAGGGTTACTACTAAGACGTCCTAACATTTCTTTAGTGACCGTACGTCCCTTTCGAATTGACCCTCAAAACTCCAACGACGATGCTACCTACTCACTAATAGTGGGATAGCACTGTCTAAAGGAAACAAACATAGAACAATTCTTTTTTCGAGTAGGTAGATTAGTTCTTAGGTACTTGCTCAATCAAAACAAATTTTTTACACTTACACTCCTTTACAAACAAAGTTTTCAAAAACACTTCATTACACTCTTAAAGACAGAAGCAAGAGTTAAATCGAAGTTAAAACAAAAGCTTTTCAAATCACACAAACACAAAAAAAACAATTTTGAAAATGATGAGCAAGTACCTAAGAGCCCGTAGATAACTACAGATAGAAAGGGTGCTAATACCTTCCCTTTCTATAATCTACTCCCCGTACTCAGAGATATCTCGAAAAAGGAATTTTTCTGTGCTTTTTTCCTTTCCTTGTTGGATAAAATAAAAGTCGGTGGCGACTCTTGCTTACCGCGACATTTTGCGAAAACAAACGCAAAATACAAACCAACAAATTCCTTAAAAAATAGGGAAACACGTCCCGGTTCTGGCCACCGTATCACACATTGCACCTAAAATTTTTAGAAAGATGTTGCTATTAGTAAATTTTCGTAAAGTAAATTATCACACAATACAATCTCCTTGTAAAATACCAGATCTTCATATTTTCCAAATAAACTCACACCATCAAACATATTAAAGGTACCAATTCTACCTACACATTTGATACAAACATTTTATGAACATTTTTTCCAATGAATAAAACAGAACGAAGAAAACCCATGATTCAAAAACTATAAAAGATTGGATTTTCCCAACAAAGATACCAAAAGAAAGAAAACCCTAAAATCAAAATTCCATAACTATCAAACCAAACATTGAATCAACAAGTGTGAATTTCAGAACTCAAAGCACGAGAAACCGACTTAACATCAGCAAACGAACATCTCCTCAAGTTCGGATGCAGAGGTGGCAAACCATCCCCTTTCACCATCTGAGTCGCATCAGACTTCTCCGACATAGAAACACGGCGGCGAAGAACATTTCAATGAAGCTTGCACTAATGTCCCGGCCTCCGAAATCCCAAACAGTGAAGCTAATTTTATTGTACTCCACGGTCTCCACATTGAACCCTAAAAGAAAAAACAAACAAATAAATTAAAGAGCCTATATAAAACAACTTCATAGATTGAAAACACAGATGAGAAATTACACTGCCACTAAGAAATTACACGAAGAAGATGACGAAGAAAAAGGAAAATGAAGAAGAGGGAGAAATGGGATCTAAAAGTAGAAGAAGTCGCTCGGAGAGAAAAAGAAGAAGAAAGAGAAACAAACATTGAAAATGTGGATAGATGATGTGATGAATTGGTAATAGTGAGAAAAGAATAATGTGGGGTTACATTGGTTGACTTGTAACCAAACAACCCTCCGCGACATCATCATCCCATTTAAACCTAATGATTTAAGGAAAAAAACAACCACATAATTGAAATAAAATTTTATGACATCATTAGTTGGAAAAAATATTTTTTAGACACAAAATATCCCTAGTTTAGTGAGGTGGAAGATGTAGAAGTTGAGCAGAAAAATATTTTCCCCAACCTCTAATATTCTTATATGATAGGTACACATAAACGAGTACGAATATGTGTACTTATATACCCATAAAATACGAGTACAAACGTTTAATACTCACACGGGTATGGTTTCAGTATATAGAATTTTTCAAAACACAAAAATAAAAACAAATACTATAATACTCTAATTATACCTTCCCCATTGTTATCTCTAAATACCGCATTATATTTAACACATTTTAATTAATAAAATGTCATTATTTTTTTTGGCTAAAAAAAAAGAGTTTCAACCATTGACGTTGGGCTCCTTTAAAAACATTTGAAAAAATGAATTAAAAAGCGAGAGAAAAACCAGTGGTCATTAAATTAAATTAAATAAAACAGAAAAACCTTAAATTCTTGTCTTTTTTAATGATTATTTTTGTTTTTTAAAATGTATTATTGTCCATGTATGAGTGCGCCTGCGTGCATCAATAGATTCCTCGTTAGGAATGTTTCAAGATTACCACCGTTTCTAGGGTTCTACCCTTTGACCAAAGGTACCTCCACGACCACCCTTTTTTTCTTCATCTTCTATTCAATTTTTATCATAATCTTCATTTTTGAATGCATTGTTTTTGAGTAATTTGTTCATGTTTTTTATTGTCAAAAATTGAATCTTTGGCATGATTCTGATATGGGTTTTTGAAAATTGTTGATGAAATTGATTTTATATTAGATGGGCCGCACTATTCAAAGAGATAAAGACGTTGATTTTGACATTGAAAGTGGTGAGAACACAAGCGAAGAGGATACAAGCAATGATGAGAGAGATTCAAGGAATGGTTTTCCTTGGTCATGGAATGGGGTTCTGAATTTAGATGGATCAGAAAAGGGTAAAAATGGAATTGAATCGTGTAGTAATTCTTCAAATTCAGGTGGTTTTGGTGGTGTAGAGGATTATAATTTAGAATTGTTGGTGGATAGAGGTATAGAACATGATCATGGAAAACATGGAAAACAGAAGAGTAAGTCTGGTAATCCAAGAAAGCCTCAAAAGCCACCTTTGCCTCCTAAGGGCCCGTCTTTGCATGCTGGTGATCACAGATTTGTGAAGGAATTAGCTGAACTTGCGTTGAGGAAGCGCGCGAGGGTCAAGAAAATGAATGCAGTTAAAAAGATGAGAGCTGGCAAACCACCGTCGACGTCATCGTATACAAATCTTTCTGCCATGGTTATCACTATTGTTTTCTTCCTCGTCATCATACTCCACGGTAAATTAGCTCTTCCTTTGTTGCACATTTGATTTTGATTACATTTTATCTTGATTGAGATGAAACCTTTTGCAATTTGGTGTAGTGTGTAACTTAGTCATCACATAGATATGAAGGATCTACTTTTGTTGTTGTCCTGTCATTTTTTACCTTTATCACTTTTGGGTCATTGTAACAATAACAGGCTCGGTTTTGAAATCAAATCTGTATACTAAATTGACAAAGCTTGTGATTGTTATTTTATGTAATTCATGTATTTGCCATAGATATCTCATATTTGATTCAATATACATATATGCATATCATGCTCGCATTCGTCGTATGTCTGCAAAGGATTTTATATATTGTTTTACATATTGTTTGATGCATATATTGTTGTAGTTACAAACTAACTGTTCTGAAAGGGCAGAAAGTTGTAGCGCATAAATGATACTAAGCTGTTTTCGAACTGCTTTATTCAAATGCAACTACAAAGATATATTATATAGCACCGACACTTTAGACGTAATGCATGTTTTGTGTCCAACACCTTACATTCAATCCTTTTTGTTTTTAAAAACTATTATCGGTTTCCATGTGTTAGTGTTGTATCAGATGTGTGTTTGGTTCCATGTGTTAGTGTTGTGTCAAATGTCTGTATCTGTGATTCATAGAGGATAAGTGGATGTGTATGATTGGTTGGCATTTTGTTACATAGTTGCCTATCAAATTAAACTCATCTTTGTTTTCAGGAGAAATTTCCGGTTCATCTTAAAACTCTAAGGAGTATCTCTTTTCTCTTAAGCATGACAAACTCTAAAATTTTATAATCATCTCATTTCGAAATATTTGAAATACTCACGTTCACGTAGCTAAGACTTTACTTGCAGGAATCAGATCTGCAAGTAGTGCAGCAGTTGGGTTAACAGCTTCCCCTGATACTACGGTTGTAGCAGGCGAGAGTTTAATTTCAATTCAGTATCCTGCAAACTTCAACTCCACTGACGGAAACGGACCTGGTTCTCACTTCCCAAGTGCGTATTTGTGGAAAATCTATACGCTCTATCAGTAATCATGAAATTACATCAAGATTGCAACAAATCTGATTGTTTTCGTTTTGTCTACATTTTATGCAGGATTACAGGAAGGATGATGTGAAAATTTTGAAGATTCTCTTTTCCTCTCCACGCCTGTTTATTAGGTTATTTTTCATTAGTTTGACTTGTATCTGTTTTTGTACAGCAATTAGGAAACTCAATTAATTGTTAAGTTTGCCTGTTGAGTGACTTGTTTGGCAATGTTTTGAAAAAAGGAATTCTGCATATATATTGTTTTGTCTTTGCCGACTTAATATGTCGGTGAATTTTTTTTTCTCCATCCATTTTGGTGATGATGACATTGCTGATTTGCATGGTTTAGTTCTGATTAATTTTTACCCACGTTTAGTCGTAATTATTTTTTCTTAGCATTTATTTGGTTAAGATTTTGATTATAAGTCACTTTCAATGTTAAATTCAGTTTCAAATTATAGGTAATGTAATTTATGTCTTTTTATATTGTTGTATCTTCTCGGTCTAGAACCTTGCAAATCACATAGAGAATGATTCTTCTGCTAGGGTTAAGTTCAGTTTGTTTGTTTAGTGTTACTCATTGACAAAAGAAATTTCATCTTATGCGCTTACAAATTAGAAAAGTTCATTTTATACACATTATTTCCCCCCTCACCATTGAACAAGATTGTACCATCTTTTTGGCCGAGGATATTACATGACTTTCGACTGAAGACTATGTCATAACCATTGTCGCTTAATTGACTTATGTTCAATAGGTTATGCTTGAGACATTGTATAAGTAAGGCATTATGAATAGAGGGGAAAAATAAATTACATATTGTACCAAAACCAATGATCTCCCTATTCTGGTTTCTTCTAAAACTCTCAGACGATTAATGTTTTCCTTTCAAACATTGTTTTTTGTTTTTAAATAAGCAATCTCTTTGTTCAAAGCATGTTCTTTTTCAAGCCAAAGTGTGTAATGTTTATGCAAGTTTTAAATTCTCTAGATTTGCTTTGAGCATTGTTAAGCAGCTTTTTCAAAGTAGAAATGAGTTCAGATCTAAACAAGTTATAAAATACATCATCTCCTACTTCATCGTCTGGGTTTAGCTCATTGTCTAAGGTTGTAGCCATCAGTGCTACCTTTTCTCTGTCATAATCCTCATTTTCTTCATAGTTATTTCACGTTTTCATGAGACCATTCTTTTTGTTTTCTTTGGAGTTGCCACCTTTAGGTTTCTCATTTTAAGTTCTAGACATTCATTCTTGAAACGTCTTGGCTTATTGCAACCATATCCAACCTTCTTATCTTCCTTGTTGAGTTTGGATCTCTGATCTTATGTAAGGCTGATAATTTCTCTTAGGGAACATTCTTCTTTTGTACAAATGTTGAATCCTTTTAGTGAGAAACGTTGTATCTTCATTGTGTGACCTTTCAACATCTTCATCCTCTAAAGTCTCATCATATGTGTAGTTCTTTTTAGATTGTCTCTTTGGGTTTGCTGTATTTTGCAAAATAACATGGAGAAATGTTAAAAGTGTTCAAGATTAATCTAGCTTGTTTAAGTTGTATAGAGGTGTAGAAGGTATATATGTTGGACTCGATGTCCTAGTATGTTGGTACGACATCCAGGCTTTGCGCAACAGGTCAATGCTGATGCGTTTTAGAATATTTTTTGGTCAAAGATTAGATCAAATTTTATTGTTATTGGTTTAGCAATATAATTAAGTGATTTGTTTGACAGTTGGACGAAGATCAATTCAGATTTAAATGAAGATTTAAATTTGAATTTGAATTGTAATAAATCATATTTTGCTGGAGAGATTTATGGAATAAATAATATTCAAAAAATTCTGCATTATTTCTAGACGAAATCAAATCAAATATCCATGAAGAAAAGTCCAGGATTATTATGATATATAAGGAGTTCAAACCTACATTGAAAAGCAAGCATTCACGTTGAAGATTTTAGAGAGTTAGGTTTACAAGAGTCCTTGTTATTTTATGTACACCACACTATATTTCAGTAACTTCGCATGATTTTAGGTTTGTCTAGTTGAGTTGAAAAGTCAACATCATTCATATTTTTGATTGAAGTTGATCACTAGAGTTTAGTGATTGAAACACTAAGGGGTTAGCGTATGAGAGAAAAGAAAATGTGAGAGTGTATCATATTTAGGGGGAGTCCTAAATAGAAAGTCATTGGATAATGTTAAGAAGAGGCATTGAATAACATAAGGTTTGTAAGACTAACAGTACTAAAATACTAATAATGAAATTCCTTTTTTGGGTTGAAAGTCAACCCTCCAGACGTAGGTGTTGTTGCATCGATCTGGATTACTAATTATTGTGTTCTTTATTACTTTTCTGTTCCATTATCTTGTATAAGTTAGATTGTGTTAATTGTGGCAATTCTACTTTAATTTGTTGAATCAATTGTCAGGACATCACATTTGACATCTGTCTCCTGGGGAACAGAATTTCAATTGACATCAGAACAGACACCCTAGCTTGTTGGGTGAGATCCAAATAATATAAATTCTGCTCAAATGGACACAATGAGAGATGGAGGGTCAGTCAATAAACCACCTATTTTAGATGGCACCAACTACGATTGAAAGTCTATGGTGTTTGTCTTTTTAAAATCTATGAGCAACAAAATATGGAAAACTGTGATAAAAGGGTGGAAACATCCAGTGGTTACTTCTGAAGATGGTATAACTACAATCAGTTTGATATCTGAAGCTTATTGGGCTGATGTTGAAGATGACAAAGCTCTTGGAAACTCCAAGGTTTTGAATGCTATCTTCAATGGTGGTGACAAGAGCATGTTCCGGTTGATCAACACATGTTCATAGGCTAAAGAATCATGAAAGATTATCAAAACTGCACATGAAGGCACATTCAGAGTTCGTATGTCAAGGCTGCAACTTCTTACCACTAAATTTGAGAATTTGAGGATGAATGGATGAATCTATCTGTGAATTCTTAACATCAGGTCACATGATATTTCCAACACCTCTCTTCCCTTAGGTGAAAATATGTTTGAAGAAAAGTTTAGCTAGAAAATTCTCAAATCATTGCCTAAGAAGTTTAATATGAAAGTGATGATATTGAAGAAGCTCAGGATCTGAGCAGCATTAAGGCTGATGAACTCATTAGTTTCTTGCAAACCTTTGAGATATCCATCAATGATAGGATAGAGAAGAAGAACAAAGGTATAACCTTTGTTTCCAACATTGAGGAAGTTGGAAGTCAAGGTGATAAAAAAAAGAGTTTGTCAGATGCTATAGCTCTTTTTGAGAAAAAGTTCAATAATTCTTTGAAGTATTTAGATAAAAAGTAGAGGACAAATGTCCAAGACAAGAGGTCTAACATGAGTCCCTAAAAAAAGGCATAAGTGAAGACAAATTTAATGATAGCAATGGTACCCAGTGCTTTGAATGTGAAGGCTTTGAAAACATTAAAGCATAATGTGTAACACCTTTTTAACTCCACATGTATTTCTCATATAATTTACAAAATAAATCAAGTAAAATCACCACACAACGGTGTCTCACTTCATACAAAACATTGTAATAACAATCGTGCTTCGTAACACTGGTTACATTAATAGTAATAACACCTTTTTATACTTTAAATCAGTCATTTAACAATATCGCAACAAATTCATTGTCATAAATAAATTTTTTCATAAAACGAAACTTATAGTATTTTAGTATCATCAAAAGTTTGAATTAAACCAGTTTAACAATCAAACCGTCATAAAGTACGTCAACACCAAATAGAACATAACTCTCGCAAAACAAAGAGTTCACAAACCGATATTACATATCAGAGAAAGACACACTAATGTAACAAAACTAAACAAAATACTCCAATGCTATCTTCAGTGCTCTTACAAACTACTCCTGAGCATCTACGCGTTACCCACGTGGAGGCAACATTCAAACAGAAAGGGTGAGTGTTGTACCCCAAAATTTTCCCTCCCATATTCTTCAAAGTTTTGACAAGCATCATCTAAATTTGCTCAAGTCTACTCAAGGGTTGCACAGTCAAACCACCCTCCTAAGCCAGTCAAATTAGGGTTTTGGTTCTTACAAGGAAGTTGAGGTTTTCAAGGGCCCAATCAAGTCCCATATACTCATATACATTGTCAAGCACCTACATGTCAAGTTTCAAGGCTCACAAGGTCAAGTTGCACAGTCAAAAACCCTAATTGCTTCACAATCAACTGTAGGGGCAAAATGGTCATTTGGAAGTCAAAAGTCAAAATTTTTGGTCAACATCTTATTTTGAAGCCACAATCATCATTTGGTCAAATCTTGACCATGATTTCATAAGAATGGCTCAAAAATCATCAAGATGCAAAAGTCTCTATTTTTGGACAGTTGAAAAGTCAACTGTAACTTGACCAAGGCATAACTTTTTCATGATTCATCAGAAAAATCCCATCCAATGCTCATTTTGAAGGGGATGACATTTCCTACAACTCATCTTCACATTCCAAGTCCAAGAAATGCTCTCACAAAAAGTTATCAATTTCAACATTATAGGCCATTTTCAAAAGTCAACAAAAAGGCACTTTAAGTCAAAGACCATAACTTGAGATTGGTAAATCAAAATGACATGGGACCAAAGGCATTGGTTAGAGGACTACAAGACCTTTCCAGAATGTCCAAGAACATGTTCATATGATCAAAATTGAGCAAGATATGTGTTGGAGAAGTTGGGAAATTTTTGTGAAATGGCAAAAGTCAACTATCCTTGAAACTTCAATTTTTGACAAAAGGGCCCACTTTTTTCCACTAGATTCATCCTTGTCATGTCACCCACGTGTCCCATGACCCATTACAAGACCAAACATTTATTTTTTCATTTTTATGGATTTAGTTCACTTTAATCCATAATAATTCAAATAAAAATCAAAAAATGAATTAAATGATATCTTTGAGTTTTGAATGACTTTTATATGTCATGAATCACCTACCAAATTCGTGTAAAGTCCATTTCAAGCATGAAATTCAAATTTGAACAAAAATGGCAAGTTTCTTTAATGGTGGTGATGAAGAAATCCAAAACTTCATTGCAATGGTT